TTATTATGTTTTTCTATGATCTCATTGAACAATCTATTTTTAGAATAATTGGTTTCAATCATTTTAACGGATTGATAAAGGAATTTATTTGAAATTTACTTATACATCTTAACGGTTTTACATTCTAACGATGTCAATCACGATGCTCTCAATGCTAGTCACGATGCTCTCTAGTCACAATGCTCGCTGGTCACGATGCTCGCTGATCACGATGCTCGCTGGTCACGATGCTCGCTAGTCACGATGCTCGCTGGTCACGATGCTCGCTAGTCACGATGCTCGCTGGTCACGATGCTCGCTAGTCACGATGCTCACTAGTCACGATGCTCGGTAGGCACGATGCTTGGTAGTCACGATGCTCGCTGGTCACGATGCTCGCTAGTCACGATGCTCGCTGGTCACGATGCTCGCTGGTCACGATGCTCGCTGGTCACGATGCTCGCTAGTCACGATGCTCGGTAGTCACGATGCTCGCTAGTCACGATGCTCGTTTGTCACGATATTACAATGTTCCAATATTATTACAATGTGCCACATATACTAGCTAGTGTAAAATGGAACGTACATTATTATATGTAGTATTTCTAGTAAATGCAGATCCGCCATTGAGTCGTTGCGCTGTTGCGATTTATTACATCGTATGTCATCATTGCACCGTCGGATCGTTGCGCCGTTGCGTTGTTGCCTCGTTGCGTCGCTGCGCCGCTCAATCATTACGCCACTCGATCGTTGCGCCATTGCGTTGTAGCGATTTATTACATCCATAAGCTAGCTAAATATACTACGTTATCAATTTATTTTTTTTCCTCTTTAGATTAGCTTCTCTTAGTATTATTATGTTTTTCTATGATCTCATTGAACAATCTATTTTTAGAATAATTGGTTTCAATCATTTTAACGGATTGATAAAGGAATTTATTTGAAATTTACTTATACCTCTTAACGGTTTTATATTCTCACGATGTCAATCACGATGCTCACGATGCTAGTCACGATGCTCGCTAGTCACGATGCTGTCAGGAACACTAGCAGTAGGGCCTAGGCTAAGTAGCCTAGGTTACACCAAGACTAGGAGGTTGTGCCCTAGGGCTAGGTTTTAGGGTATCCGGAAGAGAAATCGGAGAAGAAAGGTGATTGAACTAGAAAGGAGAGGGATACAAATAGCAAGCCCAAAAGGATTATACTAACTATTGAGTACTCCACTATAGACTAGAAAAACATTATAATCTGACACACCCCCATAGTACAACAAGAAGTCATAGAATAAGTGACAAGCACTACCAGAGCCAGAGACAATCACAGAGGGCAAGTGAGGAGGAGGAGGGACAGTGAGAGGAGAGGAGATGGGAGGCAACAGTGGAAGCTGCATACACACAGGAGCGGCTGGCTCAGTGGCTACCGAAGTAATGGCCCGGACTACAGGAGTAACTGGCTCCGCTGAGATTGTAGCCTCCTGACTGGAGCAACGGACCCACGGGCGACTGGCGACTACCGGAGATTGTAGCCTCCGGACTACTGGCGCTACTGGCGACACGACTGCTGCCTCCGCTCAACTTCCCCTAACAGTCCCACACACCCCCCACACACCCACTGCTTCACCCCTAGCTCCACTACCACGGCACCCCCTCTTGCGCCACTCCTTCGGATCCCACACGTCCACCCCCCTCAGCGGCAGCTGCAGCAGTGGGAGACAGAGGAGGAGGAGGAGGAAGGGACGACGCACACGGATCACCCCAACACCCGCCACCCCCACACCCTCCTGTCTAGGGGAACGGGGGGGGGGGGGGGGGGAGCAGGACAGAGCGCACGAGGGCGCAGGCAGAGTAGGGCGCACAAGGACGCGGGCAGCAGCAGAACGCAGAGCCGGCTACACGAGGGCAGGCGCGGACAGGGCGGAGGCGGGTGCTGCAGGGGCAGCGTCGCGGGTCCAGGGGCGGCTGCACCAGGGGCGGCTGTCAACGAGAACGGACTGGAATGATGAACTAGCAAGGATTGTGAGTACAAATATGAAACCCTAATGTTGTGACCCCCCTATAGGCTAACCCACTACAGCCTACACAAATACAACATGTATAATGTTTGACACACCCCCATAGGCAAAGTGGGGGAGACCTAGGGGTCACAAGACCAGTCAAGGCAAAGCAAGGCAACAACAAGCTCAGGGTGGATCTCAAGGATTCCACATAAATTCCGAGCACAAGCTAGTGGTCACAAGACCAGTTCACATGCAGGTTTATAACAGAGCAAGAGATACAGTGATCACAACCTAGCAAGAGTAAACATGCAGGTATAGATATATATAGTGATCACAGTACAAGCAAAGTCAAGAGGTAAGTAAGTGAGGTCCAGTAGGCACAAGGCCTAGTAGAGTGCAGAAGCGCTGATGGTCACGAGGCTGAAGTGCCTTGGTGAACACATCAGCAGTGTTGGCCTCAGTGGCCACGTAGCGAATACAAAGCTGACCGCGCTGCTGCAGCTCACGAGCAAGGAAGTACCGCAGGGCGATGTGCTTCGTTCTGTGCTCCAGTCTGTGCTCCTCACACAAGGCAATGGCAGCCTTGTTGTCGACGTACAGTACTAGAGGAGAACGAGGCCGCTCTCCGAGGTCGGTCAGCAGGTAGGTCAGCCAGCGTAGCTCCTGGGCAGCCATGGCTGTAGCGTAGATCTCAGCCTCGCAACTGGAGCCGAGAACAGAAGAAGAGCGTGTAGAGCGCCAAGAAACTGAGCCAGAGCCAAGGCTGAAGGTGTAACCCTGAGACGACCGCTGAGTGGCCTGGTCGTCTGCCCAAGAAGCGTCTGAGTGCCCTGTGAGCACAACTCGGTCTCGCCCTCCAAGCACAAGCCCCATGCCCGACGTACTGCACAAGTAGCGCAACACCCTCTTAGCGGCATCCATGTGCTCCTTCCTGTGACGGCCAGGAGCGACATAGCGTGCAAGGATGCTAAGAGGGTATGCAAGGTCAGGTCGAGTGCAGGTCATCAGGTACATGAGGCAGCCCACAAGCTCTGGATACGGGCCACTCGGCTCTACGGACTCATCCGAAGGCAGAGCTGAGAGCGAGTGACCGGTAGGCAGAGGAGTGGACTGAGGCGAGGAGTACGTGAAGCGGAAGCGCTGGAGAACCTGCTGCACCATGTGTGACTGAGTCAGGGTGATGGTGCGCCGTGCTCTGTCCCGGGTGATCCGCAAGCCAAGATAGCTTGTCAGCTCACCCAGGTCTGTGCACGTGTGTCTCCTCTGCAGCTCCGACTTCACGTAGGCGAGTCCTGCAGTGTCAGCAGTGGCAAAGACCAAGTCGTCGACGTACACGAGGATGTAGAACGGCGGCAGCGAAGTGTCGGTGCGCAGGAACAGCGACGGGTCAGCTGTAGAAGGCGCGAACCCAAGAGCCGCAAGTGTAGTCCTCAGTGTGTCGTGCCACTCACGCGGAGCCTGGCGGAGACCGTAGACCGGCCGCTGAAGCCTCCACTGGGTACCAGGAGGAAACGACCCAGTGAAGCCAGGTGGGCGGCGCAGCCAGATCTCCTCGTGCAGGCTGCCCTGCAAGAAAGCAGTGCTGAAGTCAAGTGAGTGAAGCTCGTAGTCGCGGTGAGCGGCTATGTGCAGCAGCACCCGAAGAGTAGTCATCTTCGGGGTGGGGGAGAAGGTCTGGAAGAAGTCAACTCCCTCTCGCTGACTGAAGCCTCGAGCCACGTAACGCGCCTTGAAGACAGGCGGAGAACCCGGCGGCCGCTTCACCCTGAAAATCTACATGCCACTGACGATGTTCGCCCCAGGAGGGGGAACCTCGTCGACGTAGGTGCGTGTGGACTTCCAGGAAGCCATCTCGGCGTCCATGGCTGTCTGCCACTGAGAGGAGTAGGGACCCGCCATCGCCTCAGCGTAAGTGCGCGGGGTCGGGATGTCTGGTGCATCCGGGTCTCCCTCAGGGGCAACTAGCAAGGACACGAGACGGGGCAAAGCAGCAGCAAGACACTGGAACTCCTCCTGTCTGTCCTCAAGGACGTCCGTGCCAAGAGCACACTCACCCCCGACGGACGGAGGACAGACAGACTCAGACTCAGACTCAGCAACAAGGCTAGCAGCGTAGTCTAGACGACAGGCAGCAGCAAAGTCAACCAACTCAGCGACCAGAGCAGACGCAGCCGAGGACTCAAAGGTAGGGTCAGTGACAACAGTAGCGAGGAGACGCGTGACAGTAGGGTGCTCAGCACGATACCGGTCAGACTCAGGGGCCGGAACGTCAGGCAAAGAGGACGCAGGAGGAGACGGTAGAGGGACACGCTGAGGAGCAGTAGAGGGACGCAGAGTCATGTAGTGAGTGCCTGGGACAGGAGGAGGACGCTCACGACGGACACGACGACCAGTGCGAGCAGGACGAACAGGCGACGCAGGACGAGACTCAGGCTCACGACGCTCTGTAAGACCTCCTGTGGGACCAGTGTAAGGAGAGGGAGCAGGGAGAGGCGAGGTAGGCGGTAACAGTGACTGCGGCTGGACAGGCGGAGGACACTCTACGGAGGGAGGAGGACAAGGAGGAGGAGCCTGCCCAAGAACCTGCTGAAGGAGCGGTACGAAGTACGGTCGCGGCCGCGCAGCGTCTCCAGAAGCAGAAGAGACTCCAGCGGCCGGGTCCTCAGTACCAGCAGCAGCTCCACCGGCCGGGTCCTCAGCACCAGTAGTAGCTCCAACGCCCGGGTCCTCAGCAGCAGCAGCAGCGCCACCGCTCGGGTCCTCAGCTCCAGCAGCAGCTCCACCGTCCGAGTCCTCAGCACCAGCAGCAGCTCCACCGCCCGGGTCCTCAGCACCAGTAGAAGCTCCAACGTCCGGGTCCTCAGCACCAGCAGCAGCGCCACCGCCCGGGTCCTCAGCTCCAGCAGCAGCTCCAACGTCCGAGTCCTCAGCTCCAGCAGCACCTCTCCGGAGGCGGCAGTACTCGAGGTACCTCTCCTGCAGCTGCTGGGAGGAGAGGGCTCCTCCAGGTGTAGCACGCTCAGGCTCAGCGTTGGTGCCAAGGCGGGTGACCAAGGCGGTGGTGCCAAAGGACAGTCTCATGCGCCAGAGAGCAGGGGGCGGACAGCTGACCTGACGCAGACGTAGACGCGGACGCAGCTACCTGAGGGGACTCAGTGGTCAGTGTGTAAAGGTCCGACCCCGGCTGCCGAGTGAAGGTAGCCAGGTGGCGACCCGTCCGAGCATACGTGCAGTGTGTCACGCGCTCGTAGGCGGGGGTGAACTGGTGAACACCCCCGTCCTGGAGCGCACTACCTGCCACCAAGTTCGTGGAGAACGAGGGGAGGTAGAGACCTGACAGCGTGCCGGACGGGACCGCCGGACAAGGAAGGACAGTGGAGGAGGTCGCAATGACCGGACCCCCAGAGGGGTCAGCAAGGGAGACAGCAACTGGCCGAGCGAGTGGCTCAAGGACAGTGCGGTCACGAAAGAAGGAGCGAGAAGCACCTGAGTCCAGTATGAAGGTGTGCAGTGCTGCAGTCGACTCAGTACCAGGGGGCACGGACGCACTAGCACCTAGGGCTGCAGCCTCACCAGGACCTGTGGGAGCAGACGCACTAGCACCTAGAGCGGCAGCCGGACTGGCCTGAATGCCCGGGTCGGGCGGAACACGCAAGTACTGAGCACCCTCTCCACTAAGAGACATTGCATACATGGCAGTGAGAATAGCATCAAAGTCTAAAGCCCAAATATCAACACCCCTCTTTTCCAGATCAGCCCAGCGCGGCAGCTCAGTGGCAGCAGGAAACTGAGTGCGCCACGCGTCGGTAAGGCGCGCGAAGCAGCGCTGCGTGGGGTGCGGCCTCCCACACTGCTGGCCGCTGCGGTCACCTGTGCGAATGACGTACGTGCAGGTAAAGCCACGCTGCGCATACCACTCACGGGCGGCCTGAAGCGTCGGGGCGGGCTGCTGACTCTGCCCTCCGCCAGTGCCTCCACGACCACCACCCCCACCGCCGCCGCCCCGGCCACCTCCACCCCTGCCGCCGCCACGACCACCTCCGCCTCCGCCGCCGCCTCCGCCACCACTCCCACCGCTGCTGTCTCCTCCCCCACTGCCGCCACTAGTCTCCCCAGCCGCGCCTCCACTCCCACCGCCTCCACCCCCACCTCCTCCGCCGCCACCCCCACCCCTGCCCCCCTTGTTCCTGCGGCGCCCGCTCGAAGCAGACGCGGTCCCGACCTTCTCAGCACCAAGAAGGTCGACAGCAGCAGCAGAGGCGACAGAGGGGAGGAGGGGGGAAGGGGAACACCCCTCAAAGAACGGGGTGCGGGGGTCGCCACGAGAGGTGCCTACAGCGACGATACTCGCCTCAGCTGCAAGCAGTTCCTTCTCGAGGAGGGCAACAGTGAGCTCAGTGGGGGAGCGAGAGAGGAAGTGGTCCCTGACTGCGCGCAGAGAGTCAGGGAGGCGGGTGACGATGTGGTAGAGAGTGATCCAGAGCGGGGGGGGGTTGCTAGTGAGAAACTCGGCAGGCATAGCAGCGCGAAAGCGGGCCTCACTAGTCTTAAGGTGGGTGATGAGGTCTGCGACAGTGTGAAAGGAGGCTAGGTCGGGGAACAGGTAGGGGAGAGTGAGGCGGCCTAGCGTGGCAGAAGCGGGTGAGGAGTAGCGGGCAACTACAGCGGTGTAGAGGTCCTTAGCAGTCTTGCACTGGCCGAAGTGCTCGCGCTCGTCTAGCGGCAGGGAGTTGCGAATAGCAAAGCGAGCGTGCGCATCACGGGTCTGCCACTGGGAACGCAGAGTGCTGTCAGCAGTCGAGTCAGGGGCAGTGGCATGGCCTAGGGCGTGGTCGTACAGTGAGATATCTTCCTTGGCAGTGAGCTGTAGGAACAGGTGCAGGTCATCTAGCCAGGTTTCGAACTTCACTGGACGGCCCTCGGCATCGAAAGCTAGAACTGGAGGACTAGCCATAGTGACAGTAGCAGTAGCAGTAGTAGCAGTAGTAACAGTAGTAGTAGGAATCAGGCCGCTGGAAAGGTGTGCGGAGGGTCAACAGTCCGTAGTGGCACACGAGCGGCAGTAGTAGGTAGCGTGGCAGCAGGAGCTGCAACGGCGCACTGGTGGCAGCTGCAGTGGCAGCAGTGTGCGCGGTAGGTAGAAAATAAACAACAGTGAGAGCGAGTGCCTCGCGGGCGGCGGCTGCAGAAGCGCACGGGCGGCAGCGGCGCACGGGCAGCGGCAGCGCACGGGCAGCGGCATCGTAGGGGCAGCGGCGGCGCACAGGCAGCGGCGGCGCTCGGGAGGCAGCGGTGCGCAAGCAGCAGCGGAAGCAGCGGCGTACGAGCGGCTGCGGGCAGCGGGGCGTGCGCGAGCAGGCGACGGGCGGCTGCGGGGCGTGCGCGAGCAGGCGACGGGCGGCTGCGGGCGGGCGGCCGCTGCGACGGCGGGCTGCGGGCCTGCGGGGCGTGCGCGAGCAGGCGACGGGCGGCTGCGGGGCGTGCGCGAGCAGGCTACGAGCGGCTGCGGGGCGTGCGCTAGCAGGCGACGGGCGGCTGCGGGGCGTGCGCGAGCAGGCGACGGGCGGCTGCGGGGCGTGCGCGAGCAGGCGACGGGCGGCTGCGGGGCGTGCGCGAGTAGGCGACGGGCCGCGCGCGAGGGAAATAAGGCGCGCGCGGGCAGCAGGCGGGGCGCACGTATGAAAACGACCGCGCGCGAGCGGCTAAGGGGCGGCGCGACGGGGCCTTAAGGGGCGGGTCGCGGGTCGCGGGATGTAGGGGCCGTTAAAAAAAAAATTCGAGGCGCCCTAGGTAGGTAGGTAGGTAGGTAGGGAAGGGTGGGCCCTTAAAAAAACGGTCCTAGCGAAGGACCTGCTCTGAAACCATGTCAACGAGAACGGACTGGAATGATGAACTAGCAAGGATTGTGAGTACAAATATGAAACCCTAATGTTGTGACCCCCCTATAGGCTAACCCACTACAGCCTACACAAATACAACATGTATAATGTTTGACAGCGGCTGCTCCAGAGGCGGCTGCTCGAGGCAAGGGGCGGCTGCACCAGGGGAGACTACACCAGGGGCGGCTGCTCCAGGGGCGGCTGCACCAGGGGCGGCTGCTCCAGGGGCGGCTGCTCCAGGGGAGGCTGCACCAGGGGCGGTTGTTCCAGGGGCGGCTGCACCAGGGGCGGCTGCTGCAGGGGCGGCTGCTCCAGAGGCCAGGGGCGGCTGCTATAGTGGCGGCTGCTCCAGGGGCCAGGGGCAGCTGCTCCATGGGCGGCGTCGCTGGCGCAGGGGCGGCTCGCGCGCTGCTGCAGGGGCGGTCGCGCGCTGGTGCAGGGGCGGCGTCGCGAGCTGTTGCAGGGGCGGGTCGCGCGCTGCTGCAGGGTCGGAGACGAGCCCCCCGAGGACGCCGCGACAGGCGACGGGGGGAGCAGCGGGCGGGCCCCCTGAAGGCGCCGCGACGAGCGACGGGGGGGGGGGGGGGGCAGCGCGAAGGCCCCCCGAAGACGCCTCGACGGGCGATGGGGGCCGCGCAGGTGCCCCTTGAGGGCGCCGCAACGGGTGACGGGGAGGGCAGCGTGCAGGCCACTTGGGGGCGCCACGACGGGCGATGGGGGGGCAGCGTGCAGGTCCCTCGGGGGCACCTCGACAGGCGACGGGGAGGGCAGCGCGCAGGCCCCCCTGAAAGCGCCTCGACGGACGGTGAAACCGCCGCGCGCCCCGAGCGCGCGGCGGGCAGAAAAAGCCGCCACGTGCTCGGAGCGCATGGCGGGAAGAAAAATGCAGCGCCGCGCACCACGGGGCGCGCGGCGGACAGTACGGCAGCGGAAGCAGTTGGTGGGCCCGTTAAGCTAGGCGGTAAGGACATGCTCGCTCTAGACACCATGTTAGGAACACTAGCAGTAGGACCTAGGCTAAGTAGCCTAGGCCAAACCATACTAGGAGGTTGTGCCCTAGGGCTAGGTTTTAGGGTATCCGGAAGAGAAATCGGAGAAGAAATGTGATTGAACTAGAAAGGAGAGGGATACAAACTGCAAGCCCAAAAGGGTTATACTCACTATTGAGTACCCCACTATTGACTAGACAAACATTATAATCTGACAGATGCTTGCTGGTCACGATGCTCGCTAGTGACGATGCTCGATAGTCACGATGCTCACTGGTCACGATGCTCGCTGGTCACGATGCTCGCTGATCACGATGCTCGCTAATCACGATGCTCGCTGGTCACGATGCTCGCTAGTCACGATGCTCGCTAGTCACGATGCTCGCTAATCACGATGCTCGCTGGTCACGATGCTCGCTGGTCACGATGCTCGCTGGTCACGATGCTCGCTGGTCACGATGCTCTCTCGTCACGATGCTCGCTGGTCACGATGCTCGCTAGTCACGATGCTCGCTGGTCACGATGCTCGCTAGTCACGATGCTCGCTGGTCACGATGCTCGCTAGTCACGATGCTCGCTGGTCACGATGCTCGCTAGTCACGATAATCGGTAGTCACGATGCTCGCTGGTCACGATGCTCGCTGGTCACGATGCTCTCTCGTCACGATGCTCGCTGGTCACGATGCTCGCTAGTCACGATGCTCGCTGGTCACGATGCTCGCTAGTCACGATGCTCGCTGGTCATGATGCTCGCTAGTCACGATGCTCGGTAGTCACGATGCTCGCTAGTCACGATGCTCGCTAGTCACGATGCTCGCTGGTCACGATGCTCGCTAGTCACGATGCTCGTTTGTCACGATATTACAATGTTCCAATATTATTACAATGTGCCACATATACTAGCTAGTCTAAAATGGAACATACATTATTATATGTAGTATTTCTAGTAAATGCAGATCCGCCATTGAGTCGTTGCGCTGTTGCGATTTATTACATCGTATGTCATCATTGCACCGTCGGATCGTTGCGCCGTTGCGTTGTTGCCTCGTTGCGTCGTTGCGTCGCTGCGCCGCTCAATCATTAGGCGCTCGATCGTTGCGCCATTGCGTTGTAGCGATTTATTACATCCATAAGCTACCTAATCTACTAGGTTATCAATTTTTTTTTCATCTTTAGATTAGCTTCTCTTAGTATTACTATGTTTTTCTATGATCTCATTGAACAATCTATTTTTAGAATAATTGGTTTCAATCATTTTAACGGATTGATAAAGGAATTTATTTGAAATTTACTTATACCTCTTAACGGTTTTATATTCTCACGATGTCAATCACGATGCTCACGATGCTACTCACGATGCTCGCTAGTCACGATGCTCGCTGGTCACGATGCTCGCTAGTCACGATGCTCAGTAGTCACGATGCTCGCTGGTCACGATGCTCGATGATCACGATCCTCGCTAATCACGATGCTCGCTAGTCACGATAATCGCTAGTCACGATGCTCGCTAGTCACGATGCTCGCTAGTCACGATGCTCGCAGGTCACGATCCTCGCTAATCACGATGCTCGCTAGTCACGATAATCGCTAGTCACGATGCTCGCTAGTCACGATGCTCGCTTGTCACGATGCTCGCTAGTCACGATGCTCGCTAGTCACGATGCTCGCTAGTCACGATGCTCGCTGGTCACGATGCTCGCTGGTCACGATGCTCGCTGGTCACGATGCTCGCTGGTCACGATGCTCGCTAGTCACGATGCTCGCTGGTCACGATGCTCGCTAGTCACGATGCTCGCTAGTCACGATGCTCGCTAGTCACGATGCTCGCTGGTCACGATGCTCGCTAGTCACGATGCTCGTTTGTCACGATATTACAATGTTCCAATATTATTACAATGTGCCACATATACTAGCTAGTCTAAAATGGAACATACATTATTATATGTAGTATTTCTAGTAAATGCAGATCCGCCATTGAGTCGTTGCGCTGTTGCGATTTATTACATCGTATGTCATCATTGCACCGTCGGATCGTTGCGCCGTTGCGTTGTTGCCTCGTTGCGTCGTTGCGTCGCTGCGCCGCTCAATCATTACGCCGCTCGATCGTTGCGCCATTGCGTTGTAGCGATTTATTACATCCATAAGCTACCTAATCTACTAGGTTATCAATTTTTTTTTTCATCTTTAGATTAGCTTCTCTTAGTATTACTATGTTTTTCTATGATCTCATTGAACAATCTATTTTTAGAATAATTGGTTTCAATCATTTTAACGGATTGATAAAGGAATTTATTTGAAATTTACTTATACCTCTTAACGGTTTTATATTCTCACGATGTCAATCACGATGCTCACGATGCTACTCACGATGCTCGCCAGTCACGATGCTCGCTGGTCACGTTGCTCGCTAGTCACGATGCTCAGTAGTCACGATGCTCGCTGGTCACGATGCTCGCTGATCACGATGCTCGCTAATCACGATGCTCGCTGGTCACGATGCTCGCTAGTCACGATGCTCGCTAGTCACGATGCTCGCTAGTCACGTTGCTCGCTGGTCACGATGCTCGCTGGTCACGATGCTCGCTGGTCACGATGCTCGCTAGTCACGATGCTCGCTAGTCACGATTCTAGTCACGATGCTCGCTGGTCACGATGCTCGCTGGTCACGATGCTCGCTGGTCACGATGCTCGCTAGTCACGATGCTCGCTGGTCACGATGCTCGCTAGTCACGATGCTCGCTAGTCACGATAATCGCTAGTCACGATGCTCGCTGGTCACGATGCTCGCTAGTCACGATGCTCAGTAGTCACGATGCTCGCTGGTCACGATGCTCGCTGATCACGATGCTCGCTGATCACGATGCTAGTCACGATGCTCGCTAGTCACGATGCTCGCTAGTCACGATGCTCGCTAGTCACGATGCTCGCTAGTCACGATGCTCGCTGGTCACGATGCTCGCTAGTCACGATGCTCGCTGGTCACGATGCTCGCTAGTTACGCGCTGGTCATGATGCTCGCTAGTCACGATGCTCGCTAGTCACGATGCTCGCGGATAACGATGCTCGCTGGTCATGATGCTCGCTAG